GACTCTGAGAGGCAGGCACGTGCATCTGCACCGCCTGCCGGGAGGCGTGGCCGATCCCTAGGATTCAGCTTACGAGCCAAGAGCCAAAGCAGGATGCCGGCGTTCGGCAAGCTCACATGCAGGAAGGGGCCGTGGATCTCGAGGCCACCGACTCTCATCGAGACTCGACAGCCTGCTGTCCAGGGGGATCCCAGCCCCGGCACCATCGCCAAATGCCGGAGACTATCATGGGCAGCAGTTTTGGCCAGAACGTGCCGAAGTCAAATGAGCATGTTCCCATCGGGAGGAGCTTGCAGGTTCGTGACCGACTCCTGCGAATCCTCGACGAGCATCGGGAGATGACTCCGGGCTTCGAGTACACCTTCCCCTATGATTCCTCTGAAGTTCTTTATGCTCCTGGAGAACCGTTGCCGGACCACTACACTCGTACGGAGGCATACATTTGGGCTGTCCTTCGAGCCGGTGGTGACATGCGCGTCCCGCTCGACCACGTCATTTGCTGTTTGCCCGACGGGGAGATCAATACCAGGGTCTGGGCGGAGGGCAATGCACGCAATGCAGGAGGAGACTACAACACTGATTAATCAGAAAGAAGTAGCCATCTCTCCCGGGACGCGCATGCATATGGCCGCTGGCCCTCGATGAAGTCATACTGAAACCATGAATTCAGGTACTAGTGGACCTGCTCTTCATTGGTTATCAAAATTTTGCATCCAACATGCTTAAAGCATTACACTAGTGCGCTACGTGCTTTTGAGTGTATGGCAATCACCTCCCTGGTGGGACGGTTCATCTTCTTTTCTTGCCAGTAGGTGTTTGCCGTTGCTCTTTGCTTCTCGTATCTTCTCGTAGGGCAGTGAAGTTTCTTTTGGTTCGTTCCGCCCACCCGTTGCGCTTATGTGGCGTGGGGGGGTGTCGAAACTGCATTGATACTTTGCTCTACGTCGGCTCAAGACAGAAATAGCGTTATGCACGCTGCGTGTTTTAGGGTTCGCTGCTGGTAATCTTAGTAGTGAGGTATTTTGAAATCCAGGCGATTCAATATTTTGGGTGCAGGTTCAGGGTGCTTAGACGTAGGGCTTCGGGCTTAGAGTATTTGAGGTTTCCAGGTCAATGAAGAAGACAGACCAGGATACGCAAACCAACAGTGCCATCCCAGATCTTATTCGGAGTAGTGCAATGCCCCAGAGCCCCAGAGATGTGGAATGGCTGCTGTTTTGCAAAAGTGAGCAAAACATAAGAAACATGATAACACCGAGGCCTCAACCATGTTGGTGATTGGGGCACTCAGTTTGGCATGCTCATCGAGTACATGAAAGAAGCATATCCCAACTTTCAGGTGGGAGTTCAGCTAAGGGCGGGGAAGAATATTCACAGCAACGGATGGCAGGAACAGCTTCCTGAAGTGCACGACCTCCAAGAGTTTTACAAGGATGCGCTTGCTGATGTTGAAGCTTGACAAGAAACGGCCAACGTCGTTCGAGCATGTGTATGACAGGCATCCAAGAAAAGGTTCGACGAAGATGCCGCAATTTCCTGAGATTATTCGCTCAATGCAGGGCAGTTGCCCGGACAAACATGTCAGAGTGGAAAGGAAGCACCGTGCAGCCATGCTTTCGTTTCCAGGAGTTCAAGTCCCGTGCGCAGCTTGCAGTTGTGGACCTACAAGCTGGTGGAGTTTTCGCCTGAGGCTCAGAGCCAATGACTGAGGCTGCAGTGATGGTAGTGCCGACTCCATTTTAACTGCAGATGCTGCCAGGTCGCCCAAGCATCGCATGTTGTGCTGTCATGTGCTGTCCCTTTTCCAGCAGCTTCGAAGGTAGGATGATGGGTGCACGACTGGCGGCATGGAATGAACATAATTGTGCCCGTGTGCAAATTAGTCAGTACGGCGGTGAAGACATGTGAAGAAGCTCCACTCCAGGGAGGTTCGGTCCTTGAACAGCCGTCTACGGTCAGTATACGTAATGGCCAAGCACATTGACCGGCAACATAGTGCTCAATTGAGCGGCAATCTCACTTCAATATGTATGGATGCTGCACGCAAGGGCGTCTAGAAAGCAGGCAGGAAAGAACAGAAGCAAGGCACCAATTTGCACCAATAAGAAAGGAAGATACACAGCAAAACCAAAAAGCCGATGGTGCAGCTCAGAAAGAAGCAAGGAAAGCGAGAGGAAGCAGCCAACTAGAAATAACAACTGACAGAAAGTTGCCAAGTTGTCATTGTGGCTCAAGAACCCACCCCAGGCTTGTAAAACATTACGCCGCCTTTTGCACAGAATTTCTTGTAAACACACATTCTCGCAAAGTACATCGTTGGTTGGATCTTTAAGGAAGTGCAGCTATGGGGTCGTTGCACTTCCAGGCACAGCGCACATGGATATTTGACAAACCATGGCGGTGCAGAGCTGGCAGCTGACAGCCCGTGCCAGTGCCGTGGCAAACAGCAGGTGAAAGGACAATCCATTGAGTAGTGTCGCGCGCGGGCGCACCCCATCCTTCATCATGCCCCAAACCCCTGAAAATGTGTATTTTTTCGTTTTGAGTCGGCCCTTTGCCGGGGAAGAAGCTATTGCACGAGATCCACTAATGAGATGCGTTTACAGTTGTGTATTTTCCACGCAGGGGCTGGCTTTTGAAAACCCAACTTTTCCGAGGACATCTTGGGGCGCACGCAGCTCCAAATGATTTGAGAGTGGTCTTCACCGTGATGTACTCTGCAAACTAGGGGACATTCGATGGAAGCACTCAACAGATAGGGAGCCTTGCAACGAGCACCTCGTCAAATCGGAGGATAGTCTGGGAGCACTGCCTCGAAACAGGGACACGCAGAACGTTCGGAGACGTTTGGGGAGGGCCGGCAAGTGATGACGGAATGTTGAAAACTCGAGTGAGACAGGATTCCCTTGAGGGGAACTCGCTTAGAGTTTCTCAGGCTCAATTACCTACCCACGCAAAACGGATAATGGGGTTCCTGCAGAGAAAAGGCCGGATCGAGAAGACCAGCCAAGGGAAAAAGTTTCCGGCGCCAAGAGCGTTCAAGCTTGGGAAGCACTGCCTTTCGGGTCTGTACGAGGGTCCATTATTGTGAGGTGGAGGTTGGAGCAGGGTGACAGTGTCCGTTGGGGAGGATACAAGATATACAAGTGAAAAGGATTTCGGATTAAATAGCCTCAGCCCCATCCGACAGGGATGCAAGTGTAAGCATGCATCTCTGCGAATACTGCCCATGCCCCGAGGCCTCAGAATTCAAGATTGTTATGACTCATGATGGTTTCATTTCCAGCAGGAAGCGGCCGGCATGCCACAGCACTTCATGGTGTATGTTGCAATCATTGTTGCATGCCCTGTAAGGCAACGTCGGCTTGGCAAAAGATCTGTGAGGTCAGTAGAGTGGCCTTCAACAGGAGCCTCATGAAGTGCGTTGACGCAATTTAGTGCTGGAGCATGCTGGAGCTTTGGCAGGATATATAGGAGGCTCGACATTTCCATTGAGGACGCAAATGTCGTGTATCAGACAGAGACTGCCCCCAGCACAAAGAGAAGGCATGCCTAACGCAGCAAGTGAAAGCCCTAGCAGCAGGCCTTACATGAATCGATTTCAGTCTGGACATTGATCGCAGATCATCGTTTCCCTTTTTTTTGCAGGAGCGAGGCGAGTCCTTCTACAATTCTTTGATCCCACCGCTTGTAGAGGAGCTGAAGGCACACTGCACGTGCAATGCTAATCCGGCTAAGTGCTGTAGACGGGTACTATAAGAAAGTCGCTGCATCCTCGGGACGCTTTGAGGAATTGCGTGTTGCGTGACTCAGAAACAGACTGGCTGTTCAGCTGATCCATCACACATTTATTGTTGGTGGTGGTGGATGGTGGTGGTCGGTGGTGCGGTAGTGGAGGGTAGCGGTGGCGGCAGCGGCAGGCAGCAGTGGCCCCGCGGCGGAAGCTGCAGGTCTCAGAATTCCTTAGCTTTAGGCGTCAAATGGCGTGAATCGGTGTTGTTCGGGCAGTCCATGGAGCCCAGATGGAAAAAGGCGTGAAGCGGTGTTGATCAGATGCGATCAGTAATTATGAATTCACAGGAGAGGGAAAAATCCGTCCGCATGTTTCAGAACAGGTCCCGCGCTAATCTCAGTGTCGTAGGCGGACAGCACGCAACCATCCTCTAACTGCATGCGTGGGAGCATCCAGCTGGGTCTTCGAAGCGCTGCATGCCACCCTCAAACCAAACATACTACCCATTTGCATGCTACGGGCCGCCTCTAGCTGTCTGTCTCTGAATGGCAACAACTGGATCATAAAATGCAGCTACACTTTTTGTCGCCAACTGTTCGAATCTAAAGCCTGACATGCAACCGTTCGCGACAAGGACTCCAAGCTTCCCATTGGACGCTTGCAAAATGCCAAGCTTGCGTGGGCGCAGTTGTGTAGCTCAATGTGCAGCGTACGCGACGACATGTGACCCTGCGACATCATGCAGTTGCTACTTTGGATGTTCAGCCTGACATTGACAACGGTGTCTGACATTGTCTGACGCTACGATAAGGCAGTTCGCTTCGGGCCCAAGTCAGAGGGGGAACTAGGGCTTCAGCAACGCGCCTGCTCCCTGTCTACATGCGTTCGAGACGAACGCCTCCAATCAGAGCAGGATAAGGAGAAACGTTAACAGCATCAGCCATAGGAGCCTGGTTGGGATCAGGTGAAAGGACGAAACGGCTCAGTAAAGAGCACCAACGAGTCGCATCGCACACAACCACGAATCAACCACGAATCGGCTCAAGGCCCGCGGGTATCAAAGTCGCCATCTTTTTGCATGACACTTTGCCGCATATTATGAGCTATTTGAACGCGTTACTTTACAAGAGATTCTCGCATCATCTGTATTTATAAAGCTACCCGATGTTATTGCACTGCAATATGATAAAGCACAATATGCTTGAATAATTCTGTGGTAATGGTTCACATGTTGCTAATTGAAGTAGCAGAAGTGCATTTTATCATAATATTTTTTGTGAAAAGCCATGAGGCTATATTGTATGATGTTGTATTTCTACAACATATTGAATGTATTGACATGATAGCATACCGTGACATACCTTGAAATATCAGCATGTATTGTACTATAATGTAACATAACGCACTGCAACATGCAGTAATACATCCTACAACTTGCACTGATGGTTTATAACATATTCATAGTTCTGAGATGAACTGCATGCGCGTCACACGCGCAAGCTCAAGGACAAGGCCCAAGGCCCAAGGTCCAAGGCATCATACCATGGCCTACTCGGAGTAGCAGAGGAAGAGAGGAAGAGTAGAAATAGTAGTAGCGGCAGTTGGTCTATTGGTAGTTGTTGCGCCTTTGCTAGTTGTACGTAATGTTGGTGGGCGTGGCAGTAATATTCGTAGAGGAGACCATTGGCAATAGCCATGAAGATCTACAAGTAACACTCAATATCGACAATGGTTTGTCGACAAGCTCAAATCAAACATGTTTATGAGATTTGCTCATTCTGACATCTTCCCAAGAATCTGACACGGTACAACCGCTGCTACCATGAGTTTAGATGCTGTCACTGTAAATTCACTGTTGCTACTATCATCATAAACCAATGTCAGGCAAAACACGTTTAGAGTTTTTTGCGTTTAAACATGTTTGGTAGATTCCTTGTTTAGATAATTCCGGCTGATGTTTAAACGTGTCTAAACCTTTTCTGTTTAACAGCTTTAAACTAAGCTTTTTTTAGCATGTCTAACCGTGTTAAACATTCCTTTGGACTTGCTGAGGGAGGGAGGCCAAGAGAGGCCTTTTGGGAGGCCTGGAAGAGAAATGAACATGTTTAAACGTGTCAAAACATTCCTTTTGCCCCTTGCTGTGAGGGAGGCTGTTTGAGAGGCCTTGTGGGAGGCCTGGCTGGATCCCATGTGGCAGGCCTCAGAGAGGCCCTGTGGCAATGTTTAAACACATTTCTTTAAACCTGTTAAAGGGAACTCGTAATTGGGTAACCCCGCTAGGAGAGACTGTGACTTGGCCCCAAACCCAAATAACCCAAAGCGTTTAAACACAAGTGTTTAAAAATTTGCCGCCCAAAAATTTTAACATATTGGTGTAAACCGTTTAAACAGGTTCGGGCCTCAGGTGGCAAATGTTTAAACATTTTGTGTTCAAACATTTAGGGTTTCAACCGTGTAAACACTCTCCTGCCTCAAGTCTGTCATAAACTCCTATGTGATGCTATGGTGGATCCAAATATCTTTACTCATTGGGTTCAAGGGCTCAGGAGATTCACTGCTTCAACTTTAAGCTTTGGGTGTACAAGTGTACGACTTTTCAAATGTCATGCTTGCTCATATTTTAATCCTGCCCGCAGCGCTACCGCCTGCAGGATTATGCGTTGCTCTTGCTGCGTGGTGCGTGCAAATGATTCGGACGGCGGCAAGTCTCAGTCCGGTGGCAAACGGGTGTGCATAACCCTCGGTTTTGGGACGTTTGTTCATCCTGTTGTCATCGTCGAACCTGATCCCATACCATGAAGGCAGAAGAAAGGCCTGATCCTGCCGGCATTTGATTCACTGTCCCTGTGATTTGATTCGTGATGGTGCAGTGCGTGTGGCGGATACTTTGCAGTGTGGGTGGCGTGGTTGGCGACGGTGGTGATGTGAAGTCATGTGCAGTTTTCCTCAGTGTCCAACGCTTCACTTGCAGCAACGCAAAGTGAAGACAGCTATGGATTGAAAACATGGCGAAGACATCATTAATCAAAGGTGACATTGCCACCTGCTAAATGAATGGCAGATTTGTGGACGTAGTTGCTGAACCTCAACGCCAGGCAGAATTCGAGAGCGATCCAACCACTGAGAAAGTTGAAAGCAAGCAAGACAGGCAAACAGCAAACATGCCAAGCTTTTTCTGATGGGGTTTTGACCACTTGTGGAACAAAGCATGGCTTTGAAGCAGCATCTCCAGTGTTTTCCAAGCCCTGTAGCAAATATGTGACTCATCAAGCGCATTTTGTAGCTTGCAAATTGTGCAGATGACTTCTACTTGGGGTGTCTCCTACTACAAGTGCACATCCCACATCATCGCCTGGATGTCATTACGAAAGCAATGCCAGGGACGATAGTTCTCAGCAGGTCCAGGTCTAGGCAAGACATGCGCGATTTGCACGTCACGGCAAAAGCCCTGTTGCCGAACCAGATGCACCAGCACCAGCACCACCACCACCGCCGCAGCC